TAGTAATGCATGTCTGACCTAACTATACACACCCGCAGTCTCTCAGTCCGGGACCCATGAGGAACATATTTGTCCATGCATCCATCGCGGCGTGCGACACGGCCCTCGAATATTAGTATCTGTCGGAGCGCGCGACACGTCCCTCGAAATGATACATCCTCCTCAATTCACATAACACTTATCAAAATTAACCATGTCTCATAACCAATGCAAATGACATGTTCACACAAATAATCAGGAGATAATCATTTTTATAAGAATGCACCATTTACAACAACACAATTGTGATACAACATAAAAAATGAATCAATAAGCCTTTCAAAACTATTCTCAACACATCACACACCAATAATTAATCACATTGCCTTTTATTACCACTTTTTCACACATTAGAATGATTCAATATGGACAAATCAATCCATCACCAAGTCTCATTACTCTCAAACACATATTACAAGGAAATACACGATTATATACACTTAACAAGGGTTTAGAAATCCACTTGCCTCAATTAATCAACAATTCACTCCGGGACTTGAGCCTTCTCTTTTCGTTGAGCTTCCAAATCAATGCAATATATTCAAATACATGGTCACAATAAGATTTTAGAACTAACAACACCCATATTGCTATAGGCTTAGCCTAGACCCAAAAACTCACTCAAATCTATAATCAAGTTTAACTTGTCAATTCTCTTATTTCCAAATTTGAAGTCTAGGGTTAATTCCAAGTTCTCCAATATCATAAATCTAATAATATTCATATAATATAACACACATAATATTTAAGTACCTATCTTAATATGTCAAAACTTGAATCATAATGTGATGAACATAAGAATTCCAAAAAAAATCCAAACTAATACATAATCAGTAACCTAAGCGAAATCTAACCCATATTTACATCCATGTTATCTACCATTAATAATGCTTAATTGCCAATTCATGGCCAATAATTAGCTACTCAATTCCTGATCCCCCTATCTCCAAAAGTGCACTACATATTCTTTAATTTAAGTTGCAAAATACATCCTTTCAACCCAATTGCATAAATATCATAAGATGCCAACTCCATTCATACATATATATATATATATATATATATAAATCAAATATTAATTGCACTAATTTCGTAAATGCCTTCCCATTGGTTTAGGAATAACAAGATTCCATGTTGTAGAACGGTTAAACAAAACTTCGGAAACATGATTACTTATGATTACCATTCATTTATTAACCACTAGAATTTTTGTCCCTTTAGATCCAAAAGGTCACGGCAATTCCAACAAACCTACCAACCACTAACTTTATTTTCCAACCCAAGATTTCTATCATATAATAATACTCTTATATGGAATAATTAATGTAGGCATATACAAAAATGGAAGGCCGGGGGAAATTTGCTTACCTGCAATTCTTCGTGCCCTTTTGTTCTGTAACCGACGCCCTTTTCTTTCTAAATGATTTAAGTATAAAAGTGATAAACTCTACTACTTATTTTAAGATATATGGGTCAAATAGTATAGGGTCTTAAATAACTTATCACTTTAGCCCCTTAACTATCGATTAAGTTAATCATCTACAATTACCCATCAATTAATTAACTCAAGTTAAACGCATAGTTCAAAATTCTCAAAAATAACCTACCGGGTCATTACAACGAGGGGCTATTTTTTGTTTACCTAGGGATAAGTTATGAAAAAAACATGTGCTCCTAAAGACACGAGGGTGATAGAGTATAGATGTAAGTGAGGAAATAGTATGGAATGTGGAACCTGATTTTGAATAGAAGATGAGGACATTCTATTAATTAAATAACAAGATGCAAGGACTGCATCACCCCAAAAACGTAGCGGAACATGGGATTCAATGAGGAGAGTGCGATCAGTCTCAATGGGATGTCTATTCTTCCTTTCTGCTACACAATTATGTTGAGGGGTATATAGACAAGATGTTTGGTGAATAATTCCTTAGTGAGTCATAAATTCCTGAAACTGAGAGGATAAGTATACTAAGGCATTATCACTACGAAAAGTACGAATAGAAACACCAAACTGATTTTGTATTTCAACAAAGAAACTTTTGGATATAAAAAATAACTCAGAACAATCTTTCATTAAGAAAACCCAAGTACATCTTGAATAATCATCAATGAAATTAACAAAATAACGAAAACCTAAGGGTGAACTGACTCTACTAGGACCCCAAATATCATAATGGACTAATGAAAAAATAGACTCTGAACGACCTCAGTACTACGGGAAAATGTAGCATGGATGTGTTTCCCAAGTTGACACGACTCACAATCTAATGAGGATAAACTAGAAAAACTAGGCACCATCTTCTGTAGTTTGGATAGACTCGGATGTCCCAAACGTTTGTGAATTAAGGCTGGATGAACTGTAACGGAGCATGCTGTGACGGAATTTGAAGAGGTAAAATAGTAAAGGCCTTGTGATTCATGTCATGTGCCAATCAATTGTCCCGTACTGCGGTCCTAAGAAAAGAATCATCAAAAAAAGTTATGCCACAATGTAAGGCACACGTCAAGCGACTAACAGATGCTAGATGAAAAGGAGAACCAGAGACATAAATAACAGAGTCTAGAGGGACAGAAGAGAGCGGTTTGGCTTTTCCAACCCCTTTTTGGTTTTGTTTGGATCCTATTGGCTAAAGTAATACTAGGAAGAGATTGTGAATAAACAATATCAGACATAAGTGATTTGTTACCAGAAATATGATCAAAAGCGCTTGAGTCCATAACCCATGATCCAAGAGTACTAGACTATGAAACACAAGCAAAAGAATTACCCCCAACATGAACATTAAGCTGAGTAACCGAGGCTACTTGTGGAGACATTTTCTTACTTGCTCGATATCGAAGGAACTCATCATATTCTACTTGAGCAATATGAGCATTATTGGGTTGTTGATCAGGTTGAGCAACATATGCTATTTGTGGAGATGTTGGCTTGCTTGGCGATTCTGAAGGTACTCATTATATTCCTTTATAGAAGTAGGATCATAACTGGGTGGTGGACCATGAAAAATATGACATATGTCACGAGTGTAGCCAAGCTTATGACAATAACTACACTTGGATTGAGCTCTTCTAAAATGACCACCTCCTCGCCGATTCTCCATAGGCTGATATGTTCGTTTGTCTATGGTTTGAGATGCCAGAATAGACGAGTCAATGGTGGATGATGAAACTACTTTGTGAATCGGAGGCGCGGCTAGACGAAGTAGACGAGAGAATAATTCACCAATTGTAGGTACTGCACAACTAGCTAAAATTTGATTACGCACTGAATCATGGTCAGGAGGAAGTCCAACAAGTGTAAGAACTAGAAACAACGTCTGTCTTTGCTCTTGTTGTTTTTCCACATTCATAGTGACTGAGCTCAATGTTTCAAATTCCTCCATGATTGCTTGTACCTATCCTAAGTAAGTAGACATATCGAATTCTTGTTTCTTTAAGTTGGTCATTCTAGATATCACATCACAGAATTGAGATATATTATTAGTATATAAAATACGTGCTTTTTCCCAAACTAAATAACATGTCTGGGATGGGTGAAACAAGGGCATTAACTTGGAATCGATAGATCGTCATAGGAGACTACATAATTGAACATCAACCTTCTCCCATTGTGCTTTTGCTTTATCATCTGCCTCACTAGCCTTTGCTTTTTCATCTACCACACAAACACAAGCATTGTTGGTTAAGTGATCTTGGAGGCCTTGACCCTTGCACCACAACTCAACTGAAGAAGCCCAAGCTAAATAGTTTGAGCTTCCATTAATGGTTCTGAAGTGATCATAGCACTTGAACTTCCATATTTTTGGAGCCAAAAATATCAATCCACCGTTATCCCAAGAGACCACAAATATCTTCAATAGTTAACTACCCGAAATTCTAGTGACGCGGAAAGCGACATGGGACTAAACCCTCCACCTAAGCATTGTCAACTAGATTTTACTTCAAAAAAATTAGATCTTTGGTAGCGATAAAAGTCGCCACAAAATTCAAAATATTGTCACTAAAGGTTTTGAGTGATTTTTAGCGGTGTGACTAAGGTTGCAATAGCCATTCACTAGTAAAACCTATTTTTTCAACAAGAAAATATGATATTAAATTTCGGTTGCAACTAATTTTCTAAAATAAATAACATGTACTATCAATTTTAAAAAATCCAATATTATTACGAAAATCATCAAAATTACTTCTCGACTCAAATCTCCTACTACATAAAGCATTATTGTACATTTTATGCATTTACATATGACATAAAAATAAAACATATGATGTCTTCAAACTCCTCCTTGATCAATATTATTTGTGATTTTTTAAAAACTAGAAGAAAAGAAATGCAAAATCATAATTTAATATTAAAAATCAATGAAAATCTTTAGTAGCGACATTTTGAGATTTTGTGGCGACTTTTGTCGCCGCTAAATGACTAGTTTTTTTCAAGTGAATCCTAATTAGCAATACTTAGGTGTAGGGATTAGTCCCACATGGTTTGCCATGTCACTAAAATTTTGGGTTTTTAACTGTTGAGGATATTTGTGGTCGCTTAGGATAACGGTAGATGCATTTTTTATCTCAAAATGTAACAAATGGTATAAATGGGTTATTCGCATAGTTCAGGGGCAATTTTGATCCTTTTCCATTTCTTTTATAAATTAATGAATATTTACATTTGTGAACTTTTAAATAAATATTTATTTAAACATTCAAAGAGTAATAAACCAGTTAAATGGTAATAATTAACTATTCTTTTATAAAAAATTCGATCACATTCACATGATATGAACAATTTCTTCATACCAAATATGTGTTATTTTTTTTTGTAAAATTTAAAATTTTAATTTTTTATAACATATTGACTTATAAATCAATTTTTTACATTCTTAAAAAATTGAAATAATAAATATACTTTATTTAAAATTTGATATTTTATTTAAAATTATCCCAAATGAATATAAGAAAACTTCCTTCACCGCTGTCTCTCCTCCTTCTTCACTCGCTGTTTGAACAGCAAAGCAAAACACATTCTCTCGCTTTATTTCTTTTCCTCTCTCTAAAATTGTGAAGGGTGGAAGGAAAACCTTAAAGAGAGAGCCAAGAAAGATCCTTAACTCTTCTGTATCACCATGAATGACCTTTTAAATGTAAGTTCTTTCTCTCCATGTACACGAGTATTCTTAATTTCTTTTGCTGCTGATAATTAGATGGATATGTTAAAATTACTTTTGCGATTTTTTTCATCTCTCACAGCTTTTGTAGCTCAATTTATCAACTATTGCTGTATTGTCAGCAATTTTATTTAATTGATTTGAAGAATAGGTTTGGTAGTGAGCTTATGGTTGTTAATAAAGGATCTTTACGTGTAGTAAGCATTATATATGACTTATAGCAGATGGGTAAGCTGAAAGTGGGAATTGGGCTGCAGAAAAATGACATTTTGGATTGTGACAATTGTTAAAAACTGCAAATATTGGACTTTCTTAGTTGCTGTCATGCAGTTGATTTCTAAACATAACAATTTTCTTGATTTCCTATTTTTTCTCCTTGATTTGATTTGGAGAAAAAGTATTTAGAATGTACTTGATCATGGATAATGTATTTTATAAATGTGCTAAGCATTCTATGACATTTTACATTACCATAATTGTTGAAGGCTTGAAGCTGCATTGACGTCCTCTTTTAGCTACTAAGGTTCAGCTCGTTTTAAATGTAACTTCTAAGGGTGAGAGAAGAGGTGAAGGAAGAAAATTCTTTGTTTTCCCCTTCCCTTTCTACTATATTACTTGCCTTTTAGTGTGGCTCCTAACAAAATGCTGTTTCAACATAACAAAGAAAGTAAAAGAAGATACCTTATTAGGCTTCATTGGGTGGTAAAGACATCTGAAGTTTCATTTAAACATGTTTATTGAGTTCACACTTTAGCTTGCTCTTCCCTTTGTGGAACAATGAGTTTTAGGGCCCGTTTGGCCATGCGATATGGTATCATGATATGGAATCAGAATATGGTATCATGATATGGAATCATGAGATGAAATTGAAGGTTTGTTTGGACATGCGATATGGAATTTTTGTGTTGTATATTTTCTCATAAACATAAAAATCTCATAAGTTGTAAAACTATTAAAATAGCCCCAATTGTTTATTCAATCTTATCAAATAAACAAAAATTATAAAATCGCATAATAAATTATTACAAAGTTATTTGTTCTTCACTTAAGTAATTGTTTTATCTAACTTTAATTTAATTAAAAAAATTGAACATAAATTGTACTTGATATGCTCATATCTCTCAACTACTCTTACAAATAACCTATAAAGTAGAAAAAAAACATACATTAGTGAGTAAATATTAACTTAGAAGTTAAATACACTAAGATAAAAATTAACAAACATCACTGACTTCTAACTATTTACAAGAAAAATCAATAGTTAAATATTATTGAATAACGAAATTTTAAAAAGTTACCACAAGTTTGAGTCAAAAACACTTCTAATAAAATTTAATCAAAAAAATTATAACTAGTCCACTTGACTAAATATTAATAACTAATTGATCAAATTTTCCCAAGTCCTCAATCAATTGGACTTGATATTCTTCAGTCATGTGAACGAACATTTTGCGAATACTAAGATTAAGAAAGTGCGGCACCGCCAATGAAAATTGTCTTTTATCAATATTATATTTGCTTAGTCATAAGATTAAGAATTTTTATTATGAAAAATCAAAAAAGTATTACTCCCTTCGTTCTTATTTATATTCACCAAATGAATTTCTACTTTATCATTTATATTCACCAAATTTAAAGTAATAATAAATTTTATATTGGTGAGAATAATAAATTTTAAAAAGTAATGATGTGATTATAAATTTTATTTACATATGAAACAAATGGTTAGTAGATATAAATGTGGGGTTGTTTTAACAAAATATAAACTCATGGATCAATTATTGTATTAAAATATCTCAAATCATGATATGGAATCACCATGTTATTCCATATCATGGTTTTTGGAGAATATGGTATCACCTCTCATGATATGGAATCATGAGATGGAATCAGCGTAAAATCGCATGTCCAAACGCTGATTCCATCTCACGACACCATATCGTGATATGGTATCGCATGGCCAAACGCCTACTTAATCATTGGTTTCTCTAAAAAGAGTCTTAATAAATGGTATCCTCTTTAAGTTTTATGAAATATGAATGGATGTTTTTTTTGTATTGACCAACACCCAAGGGTGTGTCCTAACTGTCAATGAGGTTGGAATGGACCATGGAGACCAAGGTTCGAATCTCAACAGAAGCATAAAGTGTCAAATGATTTATTCCATCTGTCTAGCCATTGTTGTTAGATTTATCATATACCTTTGGCGGTAGGAGGTAGCGAATAGCCAGAGGATTGAAAGAGGTGTGCAAGCTAATCTGGACCCTATTGTTTTTAAAAATAAAAAGAGTTTGTATTGACCATAATGTTGCTAATGCTTATAAATTATCATTATGACAATATTACTGTGAAAAAGCTTGTAGGGAGTCCTGTTGAACAGATGTAGGTTTCAACACAACCGACTGATCAGATCTATTTTGCTTTATGCATAATCTGAATCTCAGACTTGATCCAGAAAATAATTGGTTATTGTGATCTATGGTTAAAATTTCCAGTTGTATATACTCTCCTAGCTTGTGTGAGACACCTGAAAATTCATTTCCTTCTTACAGTCGGCATCAAAAACTCTCTTTTGTTAGAATTTTGCAAATGCTTTTCTTTTCTGTCCAATTAATAAAATATGTGATAGAAACCAAACCTTTTTCTTCTCATGTTTAAGTACTTATTAAATACTTATCATAAGATTTTCCTTTCTCTCTGTTGAATAATTATTTCAGGTCCATATTTGATGTACGTTGTGCTGTACTTCTTTGAGATCTTAGAATACTTCTGTGCCTTTTTAGAAACTAGTATTTTAACCTATCAAGTGCACTTCAACCCAAAATTAGTTGAGATGACTATATGAATCATCTATATGTATGCCAGTATATTTAGGTTCAAATTCGGAGGATACATCATAGTTAAATTATACTTAAGTTGGTTGTCAACCTATGGTGACTGTTGTACTCTTTTCTGGTTTGGAACTGGTTTTGCTTGTCACAAGGCTCTACAAGTAGGTTTTTTTCCTTAAATTATTTTTGGTATTGATCGAGTCTCAGAAGCATGTCACTTTATGCATTCCTTGTAAAATCCTACATTCTTTTGATTTGCGCTTGTCAAAGAAAAAGAAGAATGTTACCCTTCGGAGTGTCCCAGTGGTTTGGGCTTGGGACTTCCATGTTGGAGGTTTCAAGTTGGAAACCCCTTGCCAGCGAAAGCAAGGGGTTTGCCTTCTGGATCGAGCTCGTCGCACCGGGCTTGCCTAGTGCGGGTGCGGGGGTTTTACCCTGTGCCCACCGGCTGCAGGTTTCCTTCGTCATCAAAAACAGAAAAAGAAGAATGTTGTTTTTCATTATCTATCTGTTTGATTTGTGTTGTAGGATGGTGTTGATACCTTTGAGGCTCCCAGGCATCAAAATGATAGAAATGAAGATATTGAAATGGGAATACAAAGACCAATGGACTCTGGGGAACTAGGTCTTGATGATTTCTTTAAGCAGGTTTTGCTGCAGAATCTTATACATGTTTATCTTGGAAAATTAACACTGATAATTTCGTTTTCCCTCCTTTCCTCAATTACTTTCTCTCCCATATGTTGAAGTTGATCTCCTAAAATTTCCTGCTTGCTCATTTCCTTGTCTCTTTTTCTTGCATTGTTGCTAGGTTCAACAAATTGAGAAGCAGTATGAAAAGTTGGAAAAGCTCCTGAAGAAGCTTCAGGTATAAATGTCCTTCTATTATACTGATGTACTCATCCTTTCCTAATTTCAGTTTGACTGCAATTGTAGCATGTAGTGAGTGGCATAGAATTTCCTTTGAAAATTCCGTTAAAGTTTGTTAGGTTTTCTTAGTTGTCTGATTCATGCCTAGTAATGGGCATACAAGGGATAGAACATTTTTCTGTTTAGATTATTTATTTTTATTTGTGAAAATATTTTCACCACTTACTCAGAGTAGAGGTCAATGTGGGAAACATTGATTGTGATGTTTCCATGAGTTTGAAGCTCTATACACAAAACATGAGGTCATGTTTCTTGAGTATGTCATCTTCCTTTCCAACCTGGTTTAGTGAGGTTGGGTTTTTCTTGTTTGTATCATGAGTGTTTCTCCTTTGCAAAGCTATTTGTTAAATTAGGTCTTAGGCCTAATTCACACCCCAAAAGCTAGCTCAAAGGGAGGAGGATTGCCCAAGCCTTATAAGGAGTCCACCCATCTCATTAACCACCGATGTGGGACTTTTGTCATTCTTTAACACCCCACCTCACGCCCAGTGCTTAGCATCTGGTGCGTGGACAATTTTGATTTTGGGGGCCCCAACATCGGATGAGACGGGCCCTTCTCTGATACCATGTTAAATTAGGTCTTAGGCCTAACTCACACCCCAAAAGCTAGCTCAAAGGGAGGAGGATTGCCCAAGCCTTATAAGGAGTCCACCCATCTCATTAACCACCGATGTGGGACTTTTGTCATTCTTTAACACTATCAATGCTTTATTCAAGACTTTTAGCAGTCTATCATTCATTCTCCCTCTCGGTGGCTTTCCAAAGCTCGACATGAAAGAACAAAGAAAATAGGATATCTGTATTTCAACAATTATGGTCTCACTTTTAAATGGTTTGTCCTTCACTCTTAGGGTTTTTGATATTTGTTATTCGAAGATCTATTTTAATCCTGTAATGTTTTTGTTTATGTAAGATGCGACTATTTTTGTTTTGACCACCTGGTGCATAAGCCACTTTCTTCCATATTGTGTCTCTTTTTGTCACTACTCCTACGAAGTTCTGCATTATGGAAGATGATTCTTTTTAATTGCACGCTGTGTGTTTACATAGAGAATAGACTAGAGAGGAAGTAAAATGTTTGAGGATACATAAGAGCTCTGGTTCTCAACCATTGTGTATTTAGACATAACTTTATTTACTATTATTCCATTGATTGTTGGAATCCTATCCTGTTGATAATGGGATCCTATCCTAATTGTTGAATGTGTCTTCCTCTATCTATGATATTAGAGTAATTACATAATTACCTATTCAAAATCAGTGCTTCCTCTCACAATGAAGCATATACATCGTATGCTATAAGCTTGTTACATATAATATATATTCCTGTTCGTTTAAGTGATTGGATAAAAGATCCTCAAGTTGATCATTTTACCAAATAGAAGTTGTAATTATATTTTTAGATGCTATTTGCCATTCAAAGTGATAATCAATCTTAATATGTCTGGTTCTTTTGTGAAGACAGATTAAATGCAATTGCAAGGCACCCTAATCGTCACAAATCAACTACATGGTGATAATTTTCAGCACTCCTTATTAACCAACTATCTTAGCCAAACTAACTCTCACAGAGTCCCAACAGGCCATTACTCCTTATTAACCAACTGTCTTAGCCAAACTAGCTCTCACAAAGTCCCAACAGGCCATTGACCTTTATTTTGCATCTGTAATGGACGGTGACAAACTATTTCTTGCCTTTCCAAGAAATCCTCCAACTAAGATAGTACCTGGTGCTGGTGGTCAAACGTTTATATGAAGGACAACCAGTCCATTGCATATGTGAAAGTATATCGCTCTATCTTCATATAATAGTGTTTTTCTTGGAACCTTTTGCTTACCTCAAAGTACAAACCATAATTCTCCAATGACTATCTCATGATTAGTCTAAGAACTCATTGCCAACACTTCCCTTAAATGAGATGTCTGAACGAGTAGTTGTCAAATGGTTCAACTTTCTAACCAATCTTCAATACTCCCGTTATCTTGCCAGACCTAGAAGCTTGGCATTGGGATCGATTAATTATGCAGATTGTCTCATCTGAAATTTTAACTTTTAAAAAACAAATGTTTCTATTTCTGTTTCCAGTCTACAATACACTCTATTACATGGATATCTTTTTAAATTTTTTATTGGGAAATATTTTGTTGGTGGGTAGCAGTAAATTTGAATTCATGACCATTGACTTCTTCTTTACCATTTGGACCATAGGAACCACTTTGTCTAAAAGTTTAAACTGATAGAGAGTGGAGGCACTTAGTTATTTCTGTTTGCAAATTAATCTGTCATTTGTAGGCTAGCTTTAAACCAAGCATTCCTGCCTCGAAAATATCTAGAGCTTTTTTCCTCTATGAAAGGTGTTAGAATAGAAATAAGTATTTCCTAATAGGAATAGGAATAGGAATAGGAATAGGAATAGGAATAGGAATAGGAATAGGAATAGGAATAGGAATAGGAATAGGAATAGGAATAGGAATAGGAATAGGAATAGGAATAGGAATAGGAATAGGAATAGGAATAGGAATAGGAATAGGAATAGGAATAGGAATAGGAATAGGAATAGGAATAGGAATAGGAATAGGAATAGGAATAGGAATAGGAATAGGAATAGGAATAGGAATAGGAATAGGAATAGGAATAGGAATAGGAATAGGAATAGGAATAGGAATAGGAATAGGAATAGGAATAGGAATAGGAATAGGAATAGGAATAGGAATAGGAATAGGAATAGGAATAGGAATAGGAATAGGAATAGGAATAGGAATAGGAATAGGAATAGGAATAGGAATAGGAATAGGAATAGGAATAGGAATAGGAATAGGAATAGGAATAGGAATAGGAATAGGAATAAGAATAGGAATCCTAGTTGGAAAAGGATTCCAATGTAGCGTCTATAAATAGGGTCTCAATGTAACTATTTACATACACAATTAAATATTATTTATTTCTCACAAAAGGCATGCGCCATGACTAGATTTTCTCCCCTCAATTCCAAGGAAAATACTTCAATCTGCCAAAATCATTGGTTTAAAAATGATGATTCCAGTGGTGTTACAAGTGGATCATGCCATCTGCATCACCTATGATGACAATATTCTGCCTGAGAAGAGATGAGTATATTAGTTAGCTTCATGGTGTATAATAATGAATAACCAGCATGACTCCACATTAAGCCAAATTGATGGACGATTACATAATTTTGATTTTTGATGTCCTAAGCTTGTGGAACTGCTTCAGGCGATAGAGGGAATCCTGAAAATGACAAACCATACTGTTCCACAGAGCAATAAAACTAGGTGTAATTAACAACTTTGAGAAGGTGGATGACTACATTAACTATATAGGAGTAATAGAGATTAGAGAATTAGAAACAGAATGATGAACCCCAATAGTATGGGAAGGTTGTTTTCATAAAAATACTATGGGAAGAAGATGGTGAAGACCGTGAGATTCACTCCGGTGGAAGGTACTAAGCGTAGACTGTGTTTGAGTTAGTTGACATATTGAAAATATTTTGAAAGTTCATTAGGACAAATAAAGAACATAAGTTATGGCAAAGAAGGAATAGGGTTAGCAATGCTATAGTAGTGGGTTCAGATCTATCTCCGAGTATTATTGAAGGTGGTGATTCAGAACAAGTATTATGAGTAAATAGTCTGGAATTGCTGGAGATAAATTCAGAAGCACTTAATAGAAACCTTATGAGAGTTCAGAATCTCCTTAAATTCCTAGATTAGTGTACCTTCTCACTCCACCATTACTAGATTGAGCTACATTAGTTATTGTTGATGGTTGAGCAACATTAACCTTAAATGATTGTGGTATGCCATGTAGAAAATAACACCATCTCAAGTATGTCTACTTGTTGCAATATGTGCAACAGGGACAATTTTTCTGATTTCATTGACCGCTTTGGACGAGCACTTAGGAGATTAAGTTGTGCAGTCCATTGGAGGAGTTGGAGTAGATGAAGCTTTCTCTAATCAGGTGGTAGATTCTTCAAGAGATTTCTACTGTAAGAATCGTATCACACCCAATTATGACACGATCATTTGAATTGTCAATCCAATTTAAGAATGAAAGAACACCATAAAAAACTTCTCTCTTGGCTTCCTATTGTTCTGCAGGGTTACCAAGCGGACAAAGAATGACACCTCATAGGAATTTTACTTTCCAGACTTGTTTTCAAGGCCAATTCTCCTTTACAGGTCCGCTTTGATTCAACTGTCAATACACTGACTTTACTAAGAAGGCCCGTGTTTAGTTTCCACCCGAGTCTGTATGTAGAATCGGTGCATCCACCAAAAGTTCCCAATATCTGAAGCAGTGTTACGAAACTCTCTACTTCCCAGTCATTAAGAGCTCTACTAAAGATTAGATTTCACCCTTGTGACTCCACATTTGGTTGATCATGTCATGTTGTTGGAGACTTATAGAATAAAGAACTGAAACATAGACTTCAGATTATGCCCAATCCAGTGGTCAACCCAAAAATCAATTTTTATTCCATCTCCTACAATAATCTCCACATTTTTCCAGTAGTCTTGCTAGTAGTTTCGCCATTGGTTTCTGATAGTTCTCCACCACACTGCTACCTTAGGGACTATTAACATCATTTATGTTCCACTGGTTCAACATCCCATATTTCTGGGATATGAAATTCCTCCAAAGTGCACTGTCCTCATTATTGTACCTCCAATGTGATTTTTTAGTAGACTTCTATTATGTAGACTCAGGTTCTTTATGCCTAAACCGCCATGTTTCTTGCTCAAGGTTATAACTTCCCAGTTACTCAAATTACTGCTTTTCTTCTTGTTGCCTTGCCAAAGAAAGTCTCTTCTCAATGTGTCAAATCTTTTTTTTTTAATCCCTTTAGGTAATGGAAAGATAAACATTATGTAAGTAGGAAGAGCATTTAAAACTGAATTAATGAGAGTTAG